ACCAAATTATAATCTCAATTTTCAGGAAATGCCATCTTGGGAATTTTAAATAAATCCATTTTTAAGATATTGTAGAAATCAAGTGCATTTTCTGGTCTAATAAGAAATGTATCTTTAGTTCCAAGACTGGATTAAGCTGATTCTGGGGTTTTTTGCGATATTTTTTGATCTGTTAATGGCAGGGTCTCCCAATTTTGCGAGTTGTCCTTAACAGTCTTAAGACACGGTTTAGCAAAAATTCAAAGCCATTAATGAACTGTATGACTGTTTAAGTATTGCCTATAAAAAGGGTTTTTAAAGTGGAATCCTTAAAAATCACATCAAAAAGAATTTTTAAGGCCGTATCTATGCAGTTAGGAAGTTGACTTTGGATTTTGATTTTTTACTACAAAATGTATTTTGACTGCTCATGAGCATTAACATTTCAAAAAAAGTTTTGTAAAACCCCCAGAAGATGCATATTACAGTCTTTAAACGAAATTTAAGTTTGATTTTAGACCTATAAATGTACTTGATTTCTGAGATATCTTTAAAATGGATTTGTTTAAAATTCCCTAGGTGGCATTTTCTGAAAATAGGAGATTATAATTAAGTAAAAGACTGCATATTAACGTACAACATCTTCTGAAGAAAAGTTTAGATGCTTTGACTTGAAAACTGATGATCCATTTACAGCAGGAACAGCAGTGTGAGTTATAATAGTTTTTGATTTCCAACAGGGGGGGCGCCGTCACCCCCCTGTAGGAACACAAGGGGGGGCGTGCACTCAGGCTCCCCCATCAGTTACGGCCCTGCTAATCTCTATTTCTCAAAAAATTTCATTCTCAAACTTTAAATATTCTGAGATTTCTGGTTGTAAAGACGACATTCAGAAGCTGCAGAAATTTGGAGTTACAAAGTCGAGTGCGGCATTTAACCTTGAAAAATAGAAACAAAAACAATAATTTTAACAGTTTCGACAGACGGATGTAGCTTTAGGCAAATTAAATCAGAAAAAGAATATTATCGCACGATATAAATCATAAGTTAAATTTCTTTTATTCATACAATATATTGTTTATTGAGAACTTCTCCTTGTTATATTTTTATGATCTTGAGTTTTCACTTTCCCAGCATAACACTCATAACACATTGTTTATCTTCATTTTTCTTTTCTCTGTTTTAATCTTCTCTCTTTATCATCCTTGTTGTTCTTCCATCACCTTTTTTTCTTCTTCCGAATTCTCTTTACATCATATTGTATCTTCTTTTACCTCCTTTAATGTAATCTTTGTTTTATTTTCTTCTTTTGTTTTTTACTCTCAAATTATATGACATTCTTTTTCCTTCTTCTTCTTCCTCCTTCTTTTCTTTCGTTTCTCTTTATTCTCTTACGATCCAATTCTGTTTCTTCTCTTCTATGACTGTTTTTTCTTTTCCGTTCATCTGCCTCTTTCTTTTCTTTTCGCCTTTTATTCTTCTTTTGCTATAAATTTATTTTCTTAATCCTCTTATATTTTTCCCTTCAGCTGCCTCTTTCTAGTTCTAATTCACCCTTCTTTTACTTTTAAATTAATTTTCTCCTTCTTCTTCTTCTCTTCTTCCTTCTTCTATTCACCTTTCTGTTCTTCTTTCTTCTTTTCTCTACTTTTTATTCTTCAATTGCTAAATGTGGTTACTAACTTTTTTCAGAAAAAATGTTACGAGGGAAGATGTCTATTAACTTTGTGCAGATTGAAATCAGTTACCATGAGAAGCACCGAGAACTTGAAAGTGATGAACTCCCAACTATTCTAGATATAATTCAACATTATTATTTTCTTAAACACGAGGAGCTTGAACAAACAGAGTGGAAATTAACCAACACGTTGGCTGAAAATGTTACCAAGGTTCAGGGGTATAAAATACATATTAAAGGGACTGTAAGCATAACTTCAAGTGACCCTTCATGCAAAGATGACAATGCCCAATTCACAACGGTACCTTAATTGAAATATTTGTCCTCATCAAGAACTTTTAGAAATTAATGTTTCTAACTTTAAAAACAGACTAGTTTCAGTTGTGGTTTCTCTTTTAAAGTGATTTCCGCAATGCTCATTTCTCCTGCAGGGAAAAAATAGGAATTATCAGAATTAAACGCTATTAAACCTTTTAGAAAAGGACAGTATCTTCCTCAATATTGATCAGATAAAGGGTTTAAGGATACCGTTGTGAAGCTGGTCGGGAATTGCCATCTTTGCATGGAGGGTCACTTAAACTTACGCTTTGACTCCTTTTTATAGTTAACTATCCAATTTCAAATATGAGGCACTAGGTGTACTTTAAATCCTTCATTTTATATCACAATGTCATCGTTTTCTTTCTGTTTTTGTTAACTCCTTCCTTGTTTTTGCTACTTACATCCGCAAGCAGCAAAAAGGGGAACTGAAATTTAGAATTTATAGATAGAAAAACAAGTAAATCTCCATCATTTTTGTTTAGGCAAAAATGTTAACGGTACAGTTGTGAAATGGACAACTTACATTTAAAAAAACTTTTATTTTTTTCCAATTTTTTATTTTTAACGATAAAAATAAAATTGATGGTGGTCGAAGCTATTAAACAGGGTGCTCACACGTCTGCACAAACCCTGTCACAGTTCTTGTTTTTCATCGTTTTCTGCACTACACTTCTTGTTCTCTAATTTTCTTCCTTGGGGACAACTTCTTGTTCTTGGTTAAATTTTGAAAGAAAAGTTTTTTAGGGCGTCCCGATAATCACCAATATATTATCAGTTACCCAAATCTATATCTAGTTACCCAAATCTTTATCTAGTTACCCAAATATATATCCAGTTACTCAAATAGCTATATCTAGTTACCCAAATTTATATCTAGTTACCCAAATCTATATCTAGTTACCCAAATCTTTATCTAGTTACCCAAATAGCTATATCTATAACCAGACTACCTCTGGCGTGAGGAATACACGTGTCATTAGGGGGAGTGCTGATGGGTGGGATTGCCTGGGGCCAGGAACAACCCCAGCGATTCTCTTTAAATAAATAAATAAATATCTAGTGACCCAAATCTATATCTAGTTACTCATATCTATATCTAGTTACCCAAATCTATATCTAGTTACCCATATCTATATCTAGTTACCCAAATATATATCCAGTTACTCAAATAGCTATATCTAGTTACCCAAATTTATATCTAGTTACCCAAGTTTATATCTAGTTACCCAAGTTTATATCTAGTTACCCAAATTTATATCTAGTTACCCAACTCTTTATCTAGTTACCCAAATCTTTATCTAGTTACCCAAATCTATTCCCAAATTTATATCTAGTTACCCAAATCCATATTTAGTTACCAAAATCATATCGGAAACAGTGTAACAAGAATGAACAGTCATAACAATAAAAATCATAAATAATTAACAATTGGAACTAAAAAGCTTAAAAAGTACGTAACTGGCGATTGCAGATTTTGATTCTTATCATTGTCTGCGCCCTGCGGAATGTAAATTGATTTTTTAGTGAAAAATAGCAGAACGCAATGTTAAAATCAGTATAGCTCAATCTTTCATAAATCGCTAAAATCAAGGATAGAAACATAAATATGTGTTTTATACCCCCTTCAAAGGTTTGGAAGAATCGGAACCCAAACATCCCTCTTATAACCCGGTCTAACCTAAATAAGAAATTACAATCCATTCTTCAAAGAATAAAAGTTGACCAGATGAAACCAAACCTCATCCCAACCCTGATCAGTATTCCAGTTTAGTGGTCGGATAAACTGTTTGATTTGGGTGCCTGCTCCTGTGCCCTTCCTGATCAAATTCCGTGCTCTGATGGGTAAACATTTTATTATTAATTTAATTTCGTTTACTTAAAAGGAGAGACCGGCTAGACATGGTAGTTGAGCTGAAAGTGCATTATTGTATAAAAAAACTTTAGGAGTCATTTGATACCAATGAGATATTTTTATAGTGAACAGTTTATAATATAACACCAGTTGTTTCAGTCAGCAGAAGAAACGTTTTTTTCAATTCTTAAATAACATGGACAAAACAAGTAACAAATACTATTCTACAAACTAGTTGCATGTATACAAGCAGGTTGAGAAAAAAATGAACTTATATTATTGAAAATAGGTTATTAAAATTCGTTTAAAAATCTCGCAGGTTTATGCAAATGCTTTCAGCTAGGCTTGCTTGTTGGAGGTTTTCTTTATTTTAAATGTGAAGACGACATTTTGAGGAAATCTACGAATAAAATTATACAAATAGCAAAGCTAATGATGGAAACGATGATAATGAAATAATTGATTCTACGGTTCTACTATGGATTTCATCGATAATGACTTTTAAGAAATATGTTCCTAAATAGTAAATTAGACTTTAAAATAAATTTGTACATGCTTTTTCCATTCTATTAGATAATTGTAAGAAACGTTTTTCTGCTGACTGAAACATCTGGTAAAATATTAAAACCGAATTCACGCTCTTATTTAAAATTTCTACACCGTAAAACGGCTCATTGATATCAAATGCATCCTAAAGTTTTTCTCTAAATACTGCACTTTCAGCTTAATTACCAAGTCTAGCAGCTCTCTCCCTTTAAATTTCTGGGCCCTTGATAGGATTAGGGGTGACGAAAAATATTGTTCTTGCTCACCCCTAGGGGGGGGGGGGGGGAGCAGGGGGAACACTGAGAGCATATAAACCTTGATTTTGATCTCATATTGCACAAGCTTTCAGGTGTTCATGTTCACCCCCAAAATTAAATAGTTTTCTCTGTCACATATCTTCTACATATTTTATAGTATTTTCCGTAGCCCACTCTTAAAGCTTGAGGGGTCAGCAGTTGATCTATGGCTCACCCCTGTATCCGCCCCTGCCTCTTGGTATTGTATTGCATTGTTTCTTTAATGGGCCACATTGTCCATTCATTATACATGATCATTTATTTTACATTTCAAGATATTGATTATTATTATTATTATTAAGTTATCACTGATGGATTTCCGAAAATTAAAAAAATCAAGGCAATAGTTTCAAATTTTGATCGCCCATAGACTAAAGTTTGGCGGGAAGTAGGGATATGTATATTTCACCCCACTTCAAAAGTTGCAAGCTCCGAGCCGGTACAACATGTACTGTATATGCATTCAGTTGTATTGTCCAGTCTGCACTACCTAGTGTATAGTCGACCTAGCACGGTTTATGGAACACATGTAGCCAGACAAGATCTGCACAGTGCTCCCTGGTCCGATGGGTTTGTTTGTATCCAATTGTAATTATTGGATTAAAAAGTGAATTTTAATTATTGATTTAGCTTTTTTTAAGTTTTGTGAACTGCAATCTTGAAAACTGTCCTGTAAAAGATAATCATACCATTTGTGTTTGTGGGCAATTTCGGCAGGTAAATAAAAAACATTTTAATAAACCTTCAACTTATAATCATAGAGAATAGAAAATATATTAGAGAGGAATTTACAGAATCTCTCGGTAAGAATTTTTTCAGTCCCTTTCAGCCTGAAAGGGAGTTCAAAGTGTACAAATCATGTAAATGTTTACAAATTATATGCAGTAGAGTACATTAATACAGTATGTTCCCTAGACTATTCATTTCAATTTCGAAATTTTTAAAGCTGTTAAATAAACTTTATAATGAATTAAAGGTGAATAAAAACCATCATTTGATTTATAGTTATAACGGAAAATCATCGTTATAAGGCATAGAGTCGATGTGAAATGATCATTGGTCAATTATGAAACCAGCCTTTTTCATAGTTTGGTTTTCTTTTAACATTAATTTTCTATAAAATGATATTCCATGGCCCAAAAGGTTATATAGCATAAATATGTGAAGTTTTACGCTTTTTTCTAGTAAAGTCCCCTCTGATATATATTCTATTCTCTTTGCTTATAATCGATGCAGGCTGTTGGAGGGGAGGAAGGCCAACTACAATAATTTATCGTTCTCCTCATTTTCTCGTTTAAGCCACCTCAGAATCCTCAACCTTCCATTATTATGTTTTTTAAAGTTTCAAATTCTCGAAGATAAGCCTATTTTAGGGCATAAAATATAAATAGACTGAAGTATTGCAATGGTTACATAATGTTCGGAATCTTCAAACCCATGAGAATGATGTCTAACTTTATTTCGGTAAGTCTTAAATATCTTCACCCAGAAAAATTCGATGGTTTTCACTATAATTAACAAAAAACATTGAAGTTCTATAAACTCGGAATTATTTGCGACATTCTACACCAGGAAAATGCGCGTAAAAAAGGTAAACATTTTTAAAGACATTGATTTAGAAAACTTCAATTCAATCGAAACTTTTTTTTCGATACACAAAAATTCATTTATGCCATAACGTGACTCGATTCTTAAAAAATAGTTTAATCTGGGGGTATTAGACACTTAAAAAGAATAATATTGAAAGGAAGAGGATTTCGAGGTGGCTCGGATGATAATATGAGAAGAATGTGGCTCGGATGAGAAATGGTTGTGGTTACCCTTCCTCCCCTCGATGTTGGCCTATTAATGACAGTACCATTTTACAGAAATTTTTATCTTTAACCTTAATTAACCTTTATTAAGATTTCTTCTTTCTAAAAATTAAAGTCTTGTTGGATTTCTTAAAATCTGTTCGCGGATTTCGACTCCAAAGGCGATAAACAAATAATGCCTTATTTGTCTGACAATAACAAAAATCATGCTTTTTGCTCTTGTTTCTAAGATAGAATTACTGTTGTTAGCACATTTTAAGGTGTTGCTTTAATATTTAGTGTTTTTAAGTTATATCTTAAAAACATTTTTTAACTATATTTAATGAATTTTAATAGTGAATATTGCGGAAGACATTATCATATAAATTATATTTTCAAAAATTTATTTTAAAAGCATTTTTGAAAGTATCAAAAAAATCTTCAGATGCTGATATTTTATGTATTAGCTTTAATTTTTCCGTTAGTTTTTTTTTTAATTAAAGTTAGGGCAAAATGATAAGTTTACAGTTTTTACACACTAACCATAGAAAGCAGTGTTTCGGATCCGTATCATTTTGATGCGGATCCGGATCCGCATCCGTGATGATGGATCCGGATCCTGACTCTGATACGGATCCGGATCCGGATCCGAGGTAACTTTTGATTCTGTGAATCGGATTTTCCCTATTAAATGTTATGCAAGGTTATAATTTATAAAGTATAGTAATCCTAAAGTTAAAAATGTCGTCATTACTATTATATAAATGTAAACATTAAATTATTAAAGATAATTTTGAAAAATTTTCGTCATGTAAATAATACATTTACGAACCATTTTGATTTATTTATTCCATGGTTTTGGTTAATTTTTGGCGCTACCCGGATCCATATCAACGTTTCCTGATACGGATCCGACCGGATCCGGATCCGAAACGCTGATAGAAAGGATTAAGCGGATAATGAAAGAAAAAATTCTTTTTGGAACTATCATTAGTGAAAAGTTTTTGCTGTTAGATCAAAGCTGAAGAGGATCGACTATTTCTGAAGCAGCAAAGGATCAAACATCTCGTCAACAAACCAAGTCCAGAACAAAATTCTTCTGAGAAACCAAAAAAGAAAAATGAAAAGAAAAATCGTTATGTCATGTCAAAAGCAGAAGAAAAAAGAATGATTCTAGATTTGATTAAAAACAGGAACATCACTAAGATATATTCTAAAAATAAACACGGAAGACGACATGAAGAAAAACAATCTCCAGTAGTTGGGATGGTTCAGGGCTTAACAGAACTAACCAAGGGTACCTCAGTACCCCAGAGTCAAAACCAGGTTAAATTATTGAATTTCCTTTCTTAAAGGGACTCTGCGCGTATTTTCAAGTGACCCTTCTTGTGAAGCATGGCAATACTTGATCTACAACTATGTAAAGCTTTGTCTGATCAAAAATGAATTAGATATCCATGTTTTTCTTTATTTAAAATGGTAATTTTCGTTTGTGGGTTCTCGGAAATTCTTGCTAATAAGAAACAACGGACAAATTTACAGAAATAAACCCTTTTCGAATAAGAAAAACGACGGTATCTTCCACATTTTTGATCAGATTAAGTTTTCAAGGGTACTGTTGTAAATCGGACATTGCCATCTTTGCATGGAGGGTCACTTGAAATTACGCTTACAATCCCTATAATGAGACTCAGAAATTTTTCATTCTCTTATCAAAAATTGAATGAACAATACCTAATTGTTTTTATTAGTAAATAATTTTTAGCAGTGAACAAATTATTTTTAAAAACTTTTTTTTGAAGACTGAGGTTTCTTTTGCTTCCTCTCTGCCAAAAGACGGGGAACAGATGGTGAGCATTGATGAAATTAGATCAAAAAAGGCGGATAAAATGTCAACACGGAAACAGAAAATATGGGAAAAAGAAGATAGAGTGATAGACATTAATATTCATGATAATTCTCCAGACCCAGTAAATACAGATTCTGTAACAGAAGAATCATTAAATAAAGATCTCATAGATTTAGAAGATTTCCCTGAGATTGAATACCAAACCAGTTTTTTCCCCCTACATCCAACAGAAGACTCCAACAAGATAAAATATGTAAAATCCAAGAAACCGCCGAAAGAAATAAAAGCTTTCAAAAACTTGTTGGTGCTCAAAGATGATGATCAATTTACATATGAGAAATTACAAAAACAATTAGGAGTACAGTTTATATTGATAGGAAAAGACAGAAAGGAAGGAGTTCGAATTTATGCAAGGCGAGAGCAAATCAGTGCTGATGTGCCCATCGAATTCACAGAGAAAATGGATGAAAACGTGTCTGAGATGGATCAAGAAGATTCTGTTGATCAAGAAGAGTTAATTGATCAAGAAGATTCAATTATCAACGAAGGTTTAGCGAATCTTATTAAAGCAGAACTGACTGGAATTGATCCAGAACTAATTAAAGATGATGAGATGGTTTACATAAGAAATAATGATTCTGTGACGTATAATAGTCGAAGTGAGAACGGAGACAGGCTTATTTTGATTGGACAAGACATGGAACAAAATGGCAGTATTTATGTAGTTCAGAAAAAGGCGTTTGATTTACCCAAAGAGTATATTGAAGATATGGATGATATTAAGAATGTTTTAAAGCAGGAAGGATTCTCCTCTTTCCTGAAAATAGAATCAGAGTTCAAGGAATTAAAACAGGAAATGAAGAATGAGGGAAGTAATGTAAAGGATGAAAACATTGAGGAATGGAGGGAGTTAAAGGAGGAAAAAATGGAGATCCCAGTCGAAGAGAATGCTCCTTGTTCACCAAGTGATGATTCAAGTCAAGATTTGGAGATTTTGTATCAATCAAGAACTGAAGATCCGGGTTCAAGCAGTACCTTGCACCCCTGGAGGAGTCAAAGTATAGTAGTTCAACCAAAGCCTGGAGCTAAAGTTATCATGGGAAAAGATGCAATTTATGTTCTCCACGCTACACCAAATCCGAATTATAAACTGATTCCAAGGCTTCTGAAGAAAAAGGACAAGAAAAATGAGGAAAAGAAGGAAGAGAAGGACAAGAAAACGGAGAAAAAGAAGGAAGAGAAGAACAAGAAAAATGAGGAAAAGAATGAGCTAAAGAAGAAGGCGATAAAAAAGATACGTTTAAAAAAGAATACGAAAAGGTAAAAGCTAATATAGATATGATCATTTTTGAAAAAAAAAGTTTTATATGAATTTGAATTATAACTTTATACTTGGGTTTTGTTTTTTCTTGAAATAAATTACTTGTTGAGGAGAAAAATTCTTATAATTATCTACCAGACTTTAAAATTTTTTTTAAATTCAGAATGAGAATGATTCAATGTGATGAGTGTAATGCCTCCTTCCCCTCAAACATTGAAGAAGCTAAACTGATAGAGCACATTAAAAGGTGAAATTATCAATTTAATATAAATTAGCCTGGCGTTGCCCATGGAATTAAAAAAAATGATTTTTTAAAAATCGATTTTTGAAGAGAAAAAAAAAAGATTTTTAGCCTATACCACCCCTCGGGTACCCATGAGTTTCCTCAAAAATGTTCAGCCGTTTGGACAACCATAGCTGACATTGATACATGAGCAAAGAGCTTTATTATATACGTAGATAAAATATTATATTTAGATTTCTAGTTTGTATTTCATTTTAATTAGCTCATTTCCATTGATAATGTGGATGGTTCGATTCACAATTAGGTAGCCTATAATTAAACCTTTATTTGATTAATAACGAGGAAGATACTGAAGTTTTTATTTTATCTTTTAGTGTTCAATTCTAACAATTTCCTTCATCGTGTCTGCTGCACAAAAGCACGTGACTAATATAATGAACCCACAATTCATCCTTGATCAGTTAAAATTATAATATTGTTGTGTTGATTTTTGTTTAAATGGAGTGACCGGCAATGTATGGTGGTCAACTGAAAATGCAGTATTGTGGACAAATTTTTTAGGACTCATTTGAGACATATAAACGTTTTTACGACGTATATTTACTGAGTTTGAGCGCAAAGTCGACGTTCAAAATCATGACTTTTGGTGGGTACGTTTTCAGAATCGGCTTTATTAAATTGAATAACGACGACAAAAAATGTTAACAAAATTATACAGTAAACTAATCAGTTGGAACATGTTGAGAAAATAAAAATTAACTATCATCGAAAAAAGTAATCTATTTCAATTATTAGTTTCTGTAATCTCTGCTTATTCACAAAGATTTTCTGCAGATTTTCTGGAATTTTTATTGACATTTGAAGAATTTATAGAAATCTACGAATAAATTCATAGAAAATAAGAAATTCAATATAATGATGAAAAAGAAATAATTGATTCTAACATTGATTTATTAACAAATTTCTTTTGAGAAATATGTTCCATAAACATCTGATTAGTTAATTTTAGAATTTTTACAATATTTTTTTTCGTCGATATTTAATAATAAAAAAAAAACGATTCTGAAAACGTACCTACCCAAATTCATGATAATGAAAGTCGACTTTGCACTCAATTCAGAAATTATACATCGTGGAACCGATTTCTATATCTTAAATGAATCCTTAAAAAATGTTCTACGATACTGCATACTCAGTTCAACCACCATACATCGCCGGTCACTCTTTTTAACAAATTGCTTTTTAAATCTATCCTTAAATGGGAAAAATGTTTTAAAAATCTTAGTTGAGATGTGCCAACCCGAAACTGTCTCATTTTGATTCTTTTGATTCAGAATGTTATTAATAACTAAGTTTTTTAGATTTCACCAAGAGAAGGCTTGACAGGATTTGTTTCTGATATACTGTACACTGTTCAGTATCAAAGTGAATAAATATTAAAGTGGAACAAATTAAGGCAACGACGACAGGTTGGGCCATAAGGTTTTATTTGGTTTGGAAATAATTGCATGAAAAGATTTCTTTTGGAAAGTAAAGACTAGAAAAAATAAACTCAAGACCTATGTAAAAGTGAAGACCAAGTGATATATTTCGAAGATCTTCATTTTTCGGTATCCCAAATTGTGCATTCCTTGTTTTACAGATTATGCATGCAGGCATTTTTGTGCTGTCTGAAATTATTTATTGTATCACTTTGGTTCAGTATACTATTCACATTCACAATGCACATTGTCGATAAACATGTAAGTTTAAATTATAATTTTCAGAAAAATAAACTAAACTCTCGCCTCTAACTCTGATGTATCAATCCCTATATCTTTGCAACCTCGTGGTGTAAACCTGTTATTATTAGATCTATCAGAATTCGTAGTTTAAAATATCAAGTGGTTAAAATATGAAACACAAGTCGAAAATGTATAAGCTGATTGGAAGAATGTACGTAAATAAAAGTGATATCTTAAAGAGGCATATTCAATGTTTTTAATTTTCTAGTTTCTTGGTTTCCTCCAACTCCTCCAACAGCTGACAGCAGAGTGTTCTTCGTCTTCCAAATTCAAATATTCAAAAACTGCTATTTTGATAAGCTGTGATTGTAAGAATTTCTGAAGTATCGTTTATGAATATATATTTTTATTATAAAATGAAGTATTTTTAGTATGAATATGGTCCTTAGAATTTTGATCAAACTAGAGTTTTTTCGAACCTAACCATGATTAGAATTTAATATCTTAAGATTTTTTTCGAGTTATTTTTACTTGCCTTACTATTTCCAGTCTGTATTACCTACAAGGTATACTACGAAACATGACCGTTGGAAATAGTTTTAAATGCCTTCTTCCATAATTTGTTAAGTTCTTTGTTACGTAAAAAGAATGAGACTACAGAGTCGATTGTATGGAATTTATATTCCTTATATTCATGATACCCTGCTTCTTCATCTTTTTGCCAAATCAAACATTTTAAGGCCACATTTGATGCATGATAACTTATGAATTTAGACTTTGAATTGTCATATTTTAAGAGTTACAAGTCGTCTTTACAGTCTCATCCTTTCATGTATAACCCTGTAACATAGAGAAGTATAAAAATATAACTATAAAATATCAAATATAAACAAATGTGGCGAAAGATAATCGATGAGTACAGGTTGTAAATCTGAATGATTTGTTTAAAATTAAATTGATTTTTTTACGGTTTAAGGAGTCTAAGTCTTATAGTTGCAATTTTCTCAATTTGTATGGACGCTATGTTATTCGGTATGAGACGTCTTTAACAATTTTCTCCTTTTCATTTTTCGCGAACATTCCGTTTAAGTTAGTAAATTAAGAAAGTTCACTGCTCCTTTACCATGAACGCAAATAAATAACGCTGGAAGAAGTCCTTTAGGTCTAATCTTTTAAGATGACCCTGTTTTCTTCAAAGACCATCTATTTGAAAATTGATTTTTTTATGTGCGGTTCTTGAAAAAAATACCAACTTTGTATTCGAATTTTTAGTTGTATATTATAACATCCAGGTCCGGTCGAGAACTAGGTTGCGGGCCAGACGAAAAATATGTGTGGTCCGGTCGAGAAATAGGTGGGTACATATATCTTCGTTCTTAGCTAGATTGGACAAAATTATCGTTCAAGTTTTCAAACAAAATGCAGATAAATAAATTCACCCCATTTTGAAAAACATGACGTTGCATGAATTTAAATGAAGTAGTAACAATCATTAAAAAAACCAGTTGAGAAACTGCGTGATCGTAAGAAATAATGGCGAGTTGTGGTGCGGACGAACAAAGGGTGTGGTGTTCCTTCCCTAGCTCGTGTTCCACATTATATTTAGAGATTTTTGCAGTTTACAGATTGAATCATTAAAATAGTTTGTTTCCAATCAATATTAAGTTTGTAAGCGTATTTCAAACTTAAACATGAATATTGAAATAAAAATGCATTGAAGGTATGGTTATACAAAATGGAAAAAAATCGATGGTTTCATGCTTAAAAACTATATACAGGGTTTACACGTTAAAATAAGAGACACCTGAATTTTAGTGTCAGGATGCAATACATTGATGTCTGACATTAATGATTTGCATCAAAGTTACTTGTTTCTTAAACTTTTTTCCAACATAACAAAACTGCTCTCCCAAAAACAGAAAATATACAAAATCATTTTTATTTGATCACAACGATGTTGAGACAAATAGTTATGGTAAAAACTAATATTTGTAGAGGTTCGCCAACCCTTGTAGTTTTGTGCTTGGTATTGTAGATTTGATATATCGGGGTCCTGTGTCGAGCTGGTGGTTTTGGTAGATTGGTTAGGCGGGTCTGGTTGTTTGGTTGGGCGGGTCGGAAACCAAAATACATGAGGATTAAGGCAACATTTAAACTTTGGAAACACAGGGAAGAGTAGCACAGCGCCCGTGCACTGCTTGATGTTTATGGCCAAGATCCAAGATTAAATTCATATTACATTTACACGAAAAGCTATAATATATATCTAAATATACAAGGGGGGAGGTGAGGAGGAGGAGGAGGAGGGAGGGAACCTTCTCAAAACATAACACATTTCTTCCTTTTCTTCAGTCGGACCTAAACAAACAATATTCAGATTAAATTAATTTTTAAGTGTAGAAAATGAAAAACTACGTGATATTTTGTATTCAAGCGTTTATATAGGGAAGTTTATCAATATATTATTGGAAACAGCTCATGTTGGTGAAAAGGGGTATCAAGCCTTAAAAAACCGATCCGGTATTCAGTGATCTATAGTATGTGTTCACGACGGTTAAAAACGCAAAAAAAATTGAACAAAGATGCGTGATGCACTTTTGAATTAATAGTATTAATAGTATCTTACAACGTGGAAAACATGGCAAAGCTAAGATGTATTCTATGGGTTATATGTGTCCAAATTGTGGTGATAGAAAAATAATTTCCCCCTCAAAAATAATTTATTTATGTGTTGCATTACTGAACTTTGATTTCTAGAGTAAACGAAGTATTCCAATACGATTGAATTTGTCATAAATTAAGCACTTTTCAAAGCAAGTATCAGGGGCAAACATTTTTACCTTTTATTTACATAGCGACACATTTTAATTTCATTTTCTTACGTNCCCGTATATATATATTATATATACCAGAGTAGGAAAACCCAAAAAGTTCCAATCACAAAATTTCCGTCAAATATTTATGATTTTTAGAATGTGATTAAAAGCACATTTACAAAATCACAACTTGAACTCAGAGGTATCTTCAATTTATATGCTTAAAGGACAGAGATGAGATATTCAAAGATTAAGATGTTATTTCTTTTAAGAAAGTTTCGACATTTGTAAACTTTTAGATGAAAATTTGCATGTGTCTATGTTTCTGTTTGATTGGACAGTGATATTTCTCGGAGCAGTGTTTATCATGTTCTGCATTGGAAAACATTTTAATTTTACTAATTTTAACAGATTCCATTAGTGCCCTGAAATAACTGTCAATGTTGTTCAAAGAAACAATTTGCTTTAAATCGTAACACCGCCAATTAACGGTAACAGTGTTGTAAAATGTTGTGAATTTTTTAATGTAAAAATCGTTGCAAACCTCGAGAGTTGACAGTATATTTTAGTTGGCATATTGTATATTAGTGCTGATAAATTTGCAACGAAATATATTTTCCCCCATGAACTGATTTAAGACGTCTTGCAAATCAATTTAGTGAAAATAATATGTTATAAAAAATATTCAACTNGGTGTTTAAAACCTATTGTGATGCATTTGGAAAGGTAGTAAATACTGTGTGCAAATGGTATCAGTATTGATTCATTGTGACAAAAAAAAATAAAGTTCTTGAGATGTCCAAACACGTCACAGCAAAATATCAAATTTCCTCTCCCTTCATATAGTTTTACTTTGATTATGTCCCGCGTATCCCATAATAAACCAGGAACCCCAAGATTTTTGTTAAAATCATGCGTACTGTAGTTTCTGGGTGGAACATAACAGAACTTGTCCTGAGCAGTAAAATCGAGTCTATTTACATTCCTCCCGGAAACTACAGTACACTCATGTAAACAAAGCGTTCTTCATTATATTAAATAGTCTGTCTCAAAGATTAAAAACCGGGTGTATAATTTCAAGAATTCAGAATGATGATGGGGGGGGGAAAAATGAGAAATTTTATATCAGAAGCCCTATATTCTTTAACACTACAATTTCTCAAAGTGTAACGTGAACCATTTAAAATCTTTCTTTATGTTCCAAAATTTCAACTTAGATGAGCTCAAACTAAAAAGACACCCTCAATCTAAAAAGACACCCTATATCTAATAAGACACCCTGAATCTAGTAAGACACCCTGAATCTAATGAGACACCCAGTAACTAAATACTAAAGATTGTGTCTTTTGAACAGAGATTTTAACGAACCTGAAGTGCTGCCCGCGTGGCAGTCTCAAAAACCTCCCGGACTCCCTCCTTGCTCTTGGCGGAGCACTCTAGGTAGGCGAAGGCGTTGATTTTCTCCGCCATGGCACGTCCTTCTTCAGGTTTAACAGGTTCCTGTTTCATCTTGTTTAACTCCTTGATGGTGTTAGAGTCACCTCTCAAGTCCTAAAACAAAATCATTAAAATTAGAAATGATTACTAATGTAAATTTTTAATGCTAATTCAGAAGGTATTTATCTAATTAAATTACAGTTTTGATGAAAAATAGAATTTGTATGACAAATGACATTTTCACAAAAATCGCAGAATATGAAGAATAATCGAGATTTTAAGGAAAAAATAACTTAACAGTTGAGGTCCTATTTTCATATTTACAACAGTGCTTAAAAAATAATTTTTATCGGAAATATTGGATATATTCTTGCTAGTTGCTACATAAAATTGTTGATACGCTAAAACTCAATATTGATGTCAAAATTTTTTAATTAAGTTTAGATTTTCCCTTTAGTCTATTTTCATGCTAAAACGGTCGGATACCTTACGATAAAATATTCATTTTTTAAAAGTAGTATATTTAATACTAGCTGAAGTGCCCGCGGTTGCCAGTGAATTTTTTTAAAGTCGATTTTTGAAGAAAAATATTAAATTGTTGGGGGAAAAATCTAATTTGTTTAGCCTGCATAGGGAACCCATGGGTTCCCTAAAAACATATCAGGCAATTTATCTATAATTTACACTCGTTTACCACTTCTCTGCTACATCTTCTATGTAATAAAGCTCTTTGCATATATTTATAAATATATATATATGTATAGAAGATGTAGCAGAGAAGTGGTAAACGAGTGTACATTATAGAAAACTAATATTTCCAGCGGTTAAAGGTTAAAATTAGAATTAGCAGGAGATTAAGCATTCAAGATAAGATGCAAGATGATGCATATTAAACTGTTACATCAGACTGATTTTATTCAAGTAGGATTAAATGGGAAATTGGGGTACAACATGTGTAATGGCGTAATGGGTAACACCCCCCTCCTCCCTTCTTTAGATGGGTAGATAAAACCAAGATACAGACCCTAACATATAAGCTAACACAAATGTGTACTGCAGTTTGTGGGAGGAATGAAACATACTCGGTGCTGTAGTAAACGAAGATATATGATGATTTGTAGTAGAGAATTCTTGAAAAATTAGGAATTAATAAATTTTAAAAAAAGTAAGAGCAGGGTTGGTTAGTTACATTATGGGAAATAAATTGGTAATTTTTACGTGAACAATTTTTCAGGCCTCCGATTATTTAGTTTACAAATAAATTTCTCTTCATCTCATGATTCTATTTATGTTCATGTAGGTACAGGGGGACGGATTCCGATATTTGCTAGGTGGGGGTGGGGTTGGGGGGTTGTGGATAATTGAAACTTTTTATCCCCCCTTGCAAAATGTCCAACCCCCCTGTGATAATTATCGGGAAATTTGGTAATTTTTTTTTACAAAACCACAACAAGCTGAAGGGGGGAGGGGGCAAATGTTAAAGCAAATTATTTTGGATTTTTAAATATTTTCATTAAAAAATCTTGATTTTCAAGTATTTTCTTAAAAATCAAAATAAACTTGCGTCCCAGATTTTTACAAAGGGGGGAACGTCTCCCCATTTTTAGGGAGGTGTCCCCCTCCCCCCCCCAAAAAAAGTCGCCTCTGTCTATGTAATTATTATATGAGGTAGCTCCTGTCTTAATTCTCTGAATACTCGAATGAGGAAATGTGAAGACTTTAAAACAAATACACAACTACGTAATGTAAACATTGTTCCGTTTGTAAAAGTAAACAGATTAAATCTTCATTAATTAATTCTCTTTGTAAAGATAAAATATTTCTTACTGCGTAGGGAATAACGAGGGGGTTAAGTGACCACCCCCCTCCCAAAGAAAAATGTGACTTAAGTCTTATAAAGTACTTTAAACTAAAGAACACAAAATTTAATGTTTTCCTTCAGCCAAAAGTTAACAATTATACTATATCCCCCCCCCCGCATATATGCATATTGCTTTTTTGCCAAACCCAGTGCCAAGACTCAATTTTCTTTTTAAATGGATCCGGATCAACATCCCATTCAAATAGAAAATTTTAAATTAATTATTTTTTTTTCTGAGCCAACACAACCAACTAACTAAATTCTACAAAGGCAATAGTTTTCATAAATCACATAAAAATAATTTTGAGGCTGTCCAATTTACATGATCAAATCCGGATCCAGCTAACTGTAAAATTGAGTCAGCGAATCTGGATACTCAGCACCGACAAATGAATAATTTATTCTTTTTTTCAAATTTTGATATTGATAAACGTTATCTCTCTCCCTCTCCTCCATGTAAACAAAAAAGGTTTGCTTCCAACCGAAACAAAACATTGAACTTCTTACAATCATAATTTCAATAAATGTGTAATGAATCTGAAAGTTGCATAAACGATAACAATGCATTTGATTTATAATTAATTAGTAAAGGTAAAGAATTTACTAATACTTATTTCTAAAAAGAATTTCTTGAATAAACAAAAAAAGGACGCAATTGAGTCTTCAAAACGGAGAATAAAAATAAATTAAATTAATCCCTGAAAATTATTTGAGGAGGGGGCCTGGGGGCGAATTGCAAATTAAAAGACTTACCCCCCCCCTTCAATAAATATTTGAATAGCGTAAGACATTTATGACGTCAGTCGTGTGCTCAGTGACCCCAACAGTTCTGTACTATTTACTCCCAGAGCCCAAAACTTAAGACAGAGTATCGTTAGTAAAACCAGTTTTAAAACCCGGGTTTCACGAATGGGGTTAGGCACTTATGTGATTATCAATATTTTTGTAATGACATATTATTTCTTCAGGTTTTTTATATTATCCATTTTTTCGAATCTCTAAAATCAAAATCTACACAAAAGTAAAGATCCCAAAAAGGAAACTCGGGAGTTTTGTTCAACGATACTCTTCTAAATTTCGGCCTCAGGATTCTACGAAGTCGAATGCATACGCGCAGGGGTGCATTTATCAAAAGGTTTATTTTTAAAACTTTCGATTTGTAGACCTTTACCCCGAAAATGAAAACAAATATTCAGCTTTAAAAGATTTAAAAATAATAAAATAAAAGTCCACAGTACAATTCAGGCATGATAAACATAAAATTTAAAGTTCCCTGCTTTATAGCTATGCTTTTAATTTTACACAAAATAAATACAAAATGTGTAATACGTTAAAATAATTCCGGGGTCACCTTTATTGGCTTTGATGCGTCTGCGTACAGAGCTGAAAACTTAAAATGAAATATCCTTAATCCCGATTATTTAATCTGAGTATCCAATGAACACACTTATAAATTTCTTCTTAATATTTTGTTTTCGGATACCCCTACTGTATAAGTTACTTTTGATAACATTTACAGATATGCTATATCGATTGGACTAATATCAGATTCAACTAAGGTCAGCTGTTCACAAGCGGGCTTTTAGAGCATTTAAACAAATATAAATTTTACCATGTTAATGTGATCTTATTCAAAAAACATGTTGAACGTTAGTCTTAATATACATTAATCCAAAACTTAGGTTCGTTCAATCGATCTTTAGTTCAATTGATATGACACCATCAACAACAGAAAAAAAATACTCGGGTTTAGTAAAACCAGGAGATCAAGCATCGATCTCGATATCCACATAAGGTTTTCAGTTCTGAAGTGATCTGCAGTACTCAGACCGAATGAAAAATGAAAAGTTGTTTTTAGTGGGGAGTGGGGGTTATAAATGAATAATATGAAAAAATGTGATCCCCGGAAAGGTCCCCAGGACATGTAGATCATGAGAAAAGAAAAAGAATAACTAAAAACACGAATCGGAATTCATTGCCAGGGATTTAAAACTGATGAGCTTCCCAATGAAAATGGAAATCAAGGAGGTCTCATAGGCTTTCCGTATTCAATGTGATTATCTTTTCCATATGTATAAGATTGTAAAAAAAAGGTTGAATAGCAAGTTGTTACATTTTGATTACACCATGAATGAAGATTATCACCTTCTTGTTTCCAACGAGTATAATAGGTACAAGGGGACAGAAGTGCTTGACCTCCGGAGTCCATTTCTCCGGAATATTCTCTAGCGAGTCCGGGGAGTCAATAGAGAAGCACATTAGGATAACATCAGTGTCAGGATAGGAGAGAGGACGTAGTCTGTCATAATCTTCTTGTCCTGCAGTATCCCATAGTGCCAACTCAACCTAATCAACAAACAAATTAGAAATCCAAACTCCCAAAAGTTAGATTATCTATGGATTTATAGTTGAAAAAAATTGAATTTATTTATATCAGTGCTTAGGACCCGGATGATCCACAATGCAACATAATGGCTGTAAAAAACTGGGGGGGGAATGTTTGGCCATAACATTTTTGTTGCCGAATCTGAGAGAAAATGAAGTTTTAGAGGGAGGGGGAGTGGGTTTGAGGAGATAAATACCCCTTCAGTTATTTAACCATGTTATTTTCTATTTGATATTGTGCATCATGACGATAATAACGATTTACAGTATAAATTTTTTTAGGTACATCTAGAACTTGTGTATAATGGGGGGGTTCAAAAACTTATAGTAGGATTGAACCAATTTTATGATCTTATTTTGTACGTATGAATTTTGGACTAATATACTATAATAATTCAGAAGTACAGGACAAATATACAATTTTTGGCAAGGACTAACATTATTTTTGTGGCAAATTTTTTGCATTAAGACAAACTAGGAAAAGTGATGCATTACTTGCTATATGGAATGTTTAAGCGAAATGTTAACCTGTTTGCTGTCAACTTCGATATCAGCCACATAGTTTTCAAATACAGTTGGGACATATACTTCAGGGAACTGATCCTTACTAAACACAATTAACAAACAGGTCTTTCCACAAGCTCCGTCTCCAACAATGACCAGCTTCTTCCTAATGGCCGCCATTTCTCTGAAATATTTACTTGCTTAATAACCTGGCACTAGGTTCACAAATTAACTAATATCGTTGAGGCTAGGGATTCATTGTCTTGAGAGATTAATAAATTCCTGAGCAATGAATCAACTTGTTAATGGATTTGGGTGTTTGCTGATTAAGGCTGTTGTGAGTAACGGGCGCTGTAGCGCTGCCGGCCCCTCCCCGCTGAATAAAGAAACAGCTGATAATCAAGGTTCTCGCCAAGTTTTCTTATCTTGGCGCGTAATTTGAATTTCAAGCTGTGCACAAACGACATTTTAAAATCTCTACAACAAATATGGTGGTGTATTTTTCGACCTACGCATATCCTCTTTTTTACACTTCTGACCTACTTGCACGTGGTTTTCCAGCTGCTTTTTAGCTGTTATAGGTCTGTTAAACTATAGGTCAGTTGCACCATAATTCAAAAAACTTTTGTTTGATCCGACCTACAGGGTGTCCCACATCATATTAGACCGAGAACGGGTCTAAATTACGATTTTCGGGACTAATCAGAAAATTTAATTAGAATTTATCATTTTGAAAAATAATATAAGGCTTATATAAGAATTTTCTTGCGGAAAATGATAAGTTTTTCGAGTATTAAAGATTTATTTTGTCGTTAAAGATTGAAGATAATCTAATATGATATGGGACGCTCTGTATATAGGTCGGATGTACAAATTTGTAGGTCGGATTTACACTTTTGTAGGTCGGATATATGCATTTGTAGGTCGGATGTACACATGTAGGTCATTGGTCATCGATAGTAGGTCGGATTTACACAATATTAAGTAGGTCGGATACATATGCATTTGTAGGTCGGATGTACACATTTGTAGGTCGGATGGTCATCAATTGTAAGTCGGATTTACACTTTTGTAGGTCGGATTTACACTTTTGTAGGTCGGATATTTGTATTTGTAGGTCGCGGATGCACACATTTGTAGGTCGGATGGTCATCGGTTGTAGGTCGGATTTACACTTTTGTAGGTCGGATATATGCATTTGTAGGTCGGATGTACACATTTGTAGGTCGGATGGTAGATATATGCATTTGTAGGTTGGATGTACACATTTGTAGGTCAGTTGGTCATCGATTGTAGGTCGGATTTACATATTTGTAGGTCGGATATATGCATTTATAGGTCGGATGTACGCATTTGTAGGTCGGATGGTCATCGATTGTAGGTCGGATTTACACTTTTGTAGGTCAGATATATGCATTTGTAGGTCGGATGTACACCTTTGTAGGTCGGATGGTTCGATTGTAGGTCTGATTTACACTCAGATATGCATTTGTAGGTCGGATGTACACATATTTGTAGGCCTGATGTTTATCGATTGTAGGTCGGATTTACACTTTTGTAGGTCGGATGCATTTGTAGGTCGGATGTTCACATTTGTAGGTCGGTTGGTCATCGATTGTAGGTCGGATTTACATATTTGTAGGTCGGATATATGCATTTGTAGGTCGGATGTACACATTTTTTATTTCAGTTAGAACCGGGCAATAGCTGTATTCAGAATATAGAATGAAGTTCAGCCTACTTAGTTTACGAATTTACAGTACAGAATTACCAGAGTGCACAACAAAGTACCAGAGTGCACAAAGTACCAGAGTGCACAAAGTACCAGAGTGCAAAAAGTACCAGAGTGCAAAAAGTACCAGAGTGCACAATTAGTACCAGAGTGCACAAAGTACCAGAGTGCACAAAGTATGCAGAGTGCACAAAGTACCAGAGTGCACAAAGTACCAGAGTGCACAAAGTATCAGAGTGAACGAAGTACCAGAGTTTACAGAATGCCAGAGTACCAGTGTGTAACAGTGGATAGTTTTAGATCTTTCCACTCACAGAGTTTCAAATCATATACAAAAGATGGATTTAAGGGAGTCGCAAGCCCGAGCTATGGAGCTGTTAGCGGAAATATCACGGAAGAAAATATAAACATTGAAAAAGATAAAAGTGAAGACAATGTTGTAAACAATTTATATCCAGTTATTTGTGCGTCAAATATTTATGTTTGTTTCTATTCAAATATTTACGCTTGTTTTTAATCAATTTAAGTTATTTTAATATTAAATATTTTAAAGCAACAACATTTTTTAAACTGTAGGTTTCTAGTTGCAATTGATTTACGATTACAGTATACAGTAAGAATCAGAAAATTCTAAAAGGAGTTTTGACCTCAATGGGGGATGGCTGATGAGCCCTCCTGGAAAGAAAACAAATGTATAGCCCCTCCCCCTGGACAAATTCCTGCATACGCCCCTGATTCCCCTTCAAAGATATTTTGTTTTATCTAATATTGAGTAATTCTGCTGTTGTATCAAATTGTTAGAAATATAATTGTTGAAGATAATAAAAACGTATTTAACACAGTTGTGTCGAACATATCGTTAATACAAAAGTATAAGAATAAAACTTACATTAAATATTAAAACTATAAATGTCAAACTATGAAGTAAAAATCACTCTTAAAATTAAAATCTCACATATTTTCAATTAATACTCTTTTTCATGAAGACCTATTGAGGATTGGAGATTATAATAAACATCACTGTAAAGTAAACTCCGGTTTGTTTAAAGTACAGACCCGACCTTTTAGGCAGCTAGAGCCGGCTGTACTAGCTGTACTGTACAAACAAAGACTAAAGACGGCCAAATGGGACAGAACATCAATTGAATCAGCCCCTTCTAGGGAGATTCTAGTGAAATATAACGGTAGGCTATTATATCTATACACCGAAGACGACTTTTTTCTATTTAAGTTTTAATTGTTAACATACAGGGTGTCCCACGAAACATGACAATAGGAAGACAACTTGAAAGTCGTCTTTGGTATTTGAATTTATTTGTGACATTTATTCTTCTATCTACTTTAACATGTATGATTCTTGAAACAATTATCACATAATTCTCCTAGTCCTGGCATTTCCAAAAAGTGGTCTGCGTTTTTTGTGATTTCAATATTACCGGAGATATAAAGAGTTTGGTTCAGATTTCAATTTTGTCAAATAAAAGCAAAATTGTCGAAATCTGAACGAAATTCTTCATATCTCGGGCAATATTGAAAGCACAAAAAAGGCAGACCACATTTTGGAAATGGCAGGACAAGGGAAATTTTGTGATTATTATCTCTAGAAATTTACTTCTAAAATTAGGTTGACAAATTAACGCAGCAAATTATATCAAAAATCAAGACGACATTCAAGTCGTCCTGCATACTGTCATGTTTCGTGGGACACCCTGTAGCTTTTTTCGAGTTAAAAGCTTACAAGTAATAAAAGAGAAGCTTTTTTAAATTCGCAGCTTCCCTTTGTTTCAATGTTTTTGTTTATCCAATATCCATGCTGATTGAAAGCTTGTTATGAATCAAAATTGAAATCGAAAGTCGTCTTCATCATATTGATATAATCGCCTACCACCCTAGGATACTTGATGTGTCACTCACGGGACTTTTCCTCAATTTTCGAAATTTTATTTATAACTCTAACTGTTCATTTTGAATTATATTCGCGATTCTTTTGAATATATTCGCGACCTGGCGCATCACGCGCAATCGCTCCTCCATAAGCGCCAGCAGCTCGCGGTATTCCTCGGGAGTTGAACATTTCTAAACATTAAATAGCAAATACAGGGTTACCCAGAACAGAGCCAACTACGGAATAAAGTAAATTTTTTTTAAATTCAAAGTTATCTGCAAGTCTATTATTAACAAGCATGTCTCCTATCAAAAACTGCATATTAAGTCCTATAAGACCAAAATTAAACCTTCAGAATTAAAAAGCTTTACCATCTTTAAGTAACCATTCAAAGACTTATTTTTTGTGATTAACCGGCCCTGTAAAAGATATTTATTTTTTTTTCAATTCATTATAATATAGTTCTAAAGTTATCCTTGTTTAAAAATTAAATACATATACAAGGGTCTAAACTTTTAAAAACTGGATAAAATCGTCTCTTAAAGGGAGTGTTCGTAAAAACTTTAAAAAAAGGGATATAGGCCAAAGCGTATTCATGGGGGGGGGCTATGGGGACTAAGCCCCCCCCTAGACCAGTGAAATCTATTGATTTAAGGGGGTTTTCAGGCCCCCCTCCCTGGAAAGAGAAAAAAATTTAAGCCTCCCTGGACAAATTCCTGAATACGCCCCTGATATAGGCTGATATTGAATTGAATTTGACATTGATCGGTCCTAATTTTACTTTTATCTGTGGCGATAGGGAAGAAACGTCTTATACGCCTTAGACATATATAAATATACAGAGTTTCAATATTCCACTCAGATCGTAAATGATTTAATTTAATGTAAAATTAATCATTTAGATAATTATAGTTGGTATGGCATAAATCCAATCTGTTGTGGGCAACCCTGTACAATGTACACGTACTTTAGACCAATGTTTTAAAGTACAATTCATAAATATTCCGAAATAATCCTTATTCATTCAAAATTTTGAAAAATATTTTTAATAAATCCAATATTTACTTACAAAACTAATCCTATAAAATCTTTAATTAAACATTTTACCATTTATGAAGGTGGTATAAACATATTTTGATACAGTGAGAACCAGAAAACTGTTGAATAGACAGAAGATGTTAAAGTTATATTATCTCAAGGCAAATAGTTTTACTATATATAGTAAGAAAATAAATCACTTATTTAGTGAAAAAGGTCTGTTTACAGTGCATGATTGGTGACTCTGATTATTGGACTATTTAAAGCCATAATTTGTATCTAAAAGTCGTCTTCCTATTCCAGAGTTTTCTGCGCGAGCTTAACAGGGAGATCCAATAAACATTACAGTTGACAGAGATTAGAAGTTTGTCTTTTATCTTTAAAATACTTTAAATTTCGTTTACATTTCAATTCATTTGATAAAATAAACAAAAATGGTCTAAACATTGCTTGTTTACAGTATTTTTAATACGTCCAATAGTTTTGGTACAGGGTGTCCCAGGAAACATGACAGTTGGTGAATAGTTTTAAGTCTTCTTCCATTATTTGTTAAGTTCTTTAATACAAGAGAGTAATAAAAACATGGCTTGGTAGTATTATTATAGTAAAGTTGATTTCAAAGCAAAATATGATTGAGTATTGTTATGGAAGAAGACATTCAAAACTATTCACCAACATGTCATGTTTTGTGGGACACCCTGTAGCTCAAAAAAAACGCCAAACTGAAATTTAGTGATTGTTGTTTCAAAAATCGTTGTTTTAATTAAACCATTTTCATTGAACATTTTCATTGAACATTTTTCAAACTTTAATTTTCATTAATTACAAAGTATTAGCTAATATCCACATTTCTTAATATTTTAGTACTTCTTAAATTGTGGCATATACAGTGCTACCCATAAAGGATGTGACCTCGTACACCATAGTTACATTAGAATTAAATATTTCCATTTACTGATAGCGCCGATTGAAGGATACATATCTCTGATTGGATAATGAGATATATAGAAAGATAGATGTTACCGCCATATACTATATTTCTATTGGTTCAGAATAGACAACAAACACATGACTGAACCCTGATTGGATCAGGCGCTAATGGACTCGGCATACAGGAGTGTGTAGGGAATTCATACTGCACTGTTTCCTAATATTCATGATTCCCTGAAACAGCTTCTTTCTTTTTTGCCAATCGTCTAATCATTAAATAATCTCCAAAAAAACTATAATTAAAAGAAGTCTAAATTCAACCCTAGGATCGTAATATTTCAGGAGTTTCAGGTCGTCGTTATATTCTCATTCTTTGTGGGTAACCCTGTATAGGAGGAAGACTGAATAGTCCAGTAAACATGAAATTCTTGAGCTAGGTCGTGTACGCAAACCCCTTTTCACTAGGTACTGGTAGAACTAGTTGCTTTGTGTAACAACATCAAATGTGCACGTAAGCTTTGTTTAAATATCGTCTTCCTATTTCACGATTTAATGGGTCCCACTGTACATTTTTATTTTTAAAAGCTAAAAGTTGTCTTTATACCTGATCGGTTGGAATATTGTTGTAGAACAGGAGAGCTTTCTTGTAACATTTTACAGCTATTGTATAATCCTTTCTAAACATTAGACAGCTATTGTATAATCCTTTCTAAACATTAGACAGCTATTGTATAATCCACTCAAAAATTTGACAGCTATTGTATAATCCTTTCTAAACATTAGACAGCTATTGTATAATCCACTCTAAAATTTGACAGCTATTGTATAATCCTTTCTAAAAATTTGACGGCTATTGTATACTCCCTTCTAAAAATTTGACAGCTCTTGTATAATCCACTCTAAAATTTGACAGCTATTGTACATATAATCCTTTCTAAAAATTTGACAGCTATTGTATACTCCTTTCTAAAAATTTGACAGCTATTGTTTAATCCTTTCTAAACATTAGACAGCTATTGTATAATTCTTTGTAAACATTTGGCAGCTATTGTAAAATCATTTATAAACATTAGACAGCTATTTTATAATCCTTTATAAACACTTAACAGCTATCGTATAATCCTTTCTAAACATGTGACAGCTATTGTTTAAACCTTCATACACATTTGACAGCTATTGTAAAATCCTTTCTAAACATTAAACAGCTATATTGTATAAATCTGTCTAAACATTTTGACGGCTATTCTAAAATCCTTTCTAAACATGTGACAGCTAGTGTAAAATCCTTTCTAAACATTTGACAGCTATTAAATGATCCTTTCTAAATATTTGACAGCTATTGTAAAATCCATTCTAAATATTTAAGCCAGCTTGCTTATATTCTTTCTAAACATTTGACAACTATTGTATAATCCTTTCTAAACATATGACAGCTATTTTATAGTTATGTCTAATTATTTGATATGTATTTGATGTGTATATTATTTCTAGATATTGGACAGTTATCGTATTTACCTTCATAATCAAGAAAAATTTAGCCATAAACAAAAAAAAACAGAAAAATCTGTTATCTCTAACATTGTCAATATGAAAAATGACTGCTGTTAAGCTAAACTTTAAAAGCTGAAATAATTAAATAAACGACGGGCGCGAAGCGTCTTAAACCCCTAGTTTGTATAGAAATAAAGCATATAATAATATTTATTATGTATGTACCTTGAATACCACCAGTTTGCAATCCGCATCCTAGACTGACCCATCTTTCGTCGCTGAAATATTATAGTATTTACATGATATCGAAATACATTTCGGTGGCGGGGAGCGTCGACCACTATTTCATTGAATGATGGATTGATGATTGGTTGTCTACTAAAACTAATATTAATGATTTAAAACTAGGTTTAAAGAGAAAGTCATCTTTGTTTCATGAAAAACCGGTTTTCTACTTTGTCTTGTTAATTTAGATTGAATTATTTGAAAAGAATTAGTTTGCCACGGGAAGGACAAATATTACACAAGATGAAGGATTACTAGATCAAATATTAGACAAGGTGAAGGATTACTAGCTTAAATATTAGACAAGGTGAAGGATTACTAGTTTAAATATTAGACAAGGTGATGATTACTAGTTTAAATATTAGACAAGGTGAAGGATTACTAGTTTAAATATTACACAAGGTGAAGGATTACTAGTTTAAATATTAGACAAGGTGAAGGATTACTATTTTAACGATGGGTTTGTCTAACTCTAACATTAGAGTTTGAGGCTAGTTTCTTCAACATGGTAAACATATCTTTAAATAAACTGTTTAGAAAATAAATATATTCATGAAGAAGGAAGCTTAAATAAACTCGGACAGTTTAAGTGAACGTGTCCAGTAGGTTTAAATCATAAAAATTTGAAACTTTGAAAGGTTCTCTTTGGGTTGGGGGAGGGGCGGTTTACTCCAGTAACCAACCTTATTTATCCCACTTGAACTGGACTTACTGTCCGAATAAAAAACTGATAAACAATCAAACGTGTGCGCAATTTGACCGAGAATATTTTTCATCAAGTATTTCAAAATTCTGAAAACAAACTTACACTGTAAACTAAACTTAAAGAGACTGTAAACAAAACTTAAAGGGATGTAAACTAAACTTAAAGGGACTGTAAACTAAACTTAAAGAGACTGTAAACTAAACTTAAAGGGACTGTAAACTAAACTTAAAGGGACTGTAAACTAAACTTAAAGGGATTGTAAACTAAACATAAAGGGACTGTAATCTAAACTTAAAGGGACTGTAAACTAAACTTAAAGGGACTGTAAACTAAACTTAAAGAGACTGTAAACTATACTTAAAGGGACTGTAAACTAAACTTAAAGGGGCTGTTAACTAAACTTTAGGAGACTGTAAGCTAAATTTAAAGGGACTGTAAGCTGAAATTAAAGAGACTGTAAACTAAACTTAAAGGGACTGTAAACAAACTTAAAGAGACTGTAAACTAAACTTAAAGAGTCTAAAAACTAAACTTAAAGGGTCTGTAAACTAAACTTAAAGGGACTGTGAACTACAGTTCTTTGTAAAGACTATAAAGGCAGGAAAACAAATAAAAATGTTTTTGTTCAATACCTGAGCCCATGTCATCTCTGACATCTGTTTCTGCTTTTCAAAATGAAGCAAACCAAACAGATAAGTTATCCTGCAATACAAATAATAATAATAATAATAATAATGACAACAATAATAATAATAATAATAATAATAATAATAATAA